ATTTTTTTTTTTTTTTTTTTTTTGGTACCAGGGATTGAACTCGAGTCCTTGCCCTTGCAAAGCAGGCCACCGGGTTAACTAATTTTACAGGAAAAACAATGATGAAGTGTTTGGCAAGTGTCACAGAGGACAAGTGTGGTAGGGATTTAGCAGTGGCTGGGAGTGAGTGCAGGTGTCTGAAGATAGAATCAGGGTGAAAGGTCAAGGAAAGCATCATAGGAAAGGCAGGGCCTGCTTTTAAAAACAAAGATTGAGCTTTGAGGAAAGTGTTGGGACAGTACAGGTTGTTTAAAACTCACCTCCTGATTCTCTGTGTTAGTAACTGGCCACCCTTGACCTGGTCAACTGTTGGTCTCTCTTAGGTTTGTCTGCCCATAGTCACTACACTTTGGATGGGTTTTTATAAGTAGCCTCATGACCTCTCTACTAGAGGTGCATGAATGTGAGCCAGTGAAGCAGGCCTGAAAAGGACGGAAGAGGCTTTGGAATCGGAACTAGCTCTCTCTTAGACAGGGATGATCCCACATTTTCTCCTCTTGGTGCTGTCTGTACGGCTTACCTGCTCCTCAGATTCACTCCTAAAGGAGACTTTTCTCTGCACGATTGCATTGCTCAAATGCCCAGACAGCTCCCTGCTCCTTGCTGTTTTAATGTTGTCCACTGAATAACAACTTTAACTGAACAATAAAAGTAAGGCTTTTAAATCCACAATGAGTCTCTGTAAATAAATTCTCTGTGGAATTTTACGAAGCCATTTAATGAAAAGTTTGATTAGAAACTATTAAAGAAAAATAGAATAGATGAAATTTCATCATTTAATCCAACATTTCAGTAGTGTCATTTTGATTTTTATTTACACTGAGATATTCAGAATAGTGTAAATATATCCTGGTTTTAATTAACTATCCTCCTTACTTGGGAAAGGTTATTTTAGGCTTGAAGGGTTTTGATAGCATACCATCTGCTTTCTTCACTGTGTGTTTTATTCAAGCCCCTTCCTTGCTTATTGCTCTATGCAATCTCTACACCTACGACATAGGCATAAATTGAATCATATTAACGGTATGTGATTGAAAAGCTTCAGCCTCTAATTCCACCCCACATTACTCCATCTTGTTAGCTACACTGCTCTACAGAGAGTGCTCTTTCTTAGCACAAGAGAATTGACTATTTTTAAAACTAAAGCAATGGACCTCCCATTAAAGTGCTATGAAAGCTCACCATGTTGCACATGCAATTAAGAAACAAGATTATCATAACTAAGAAGGGAAAATGACACAAATGGCAATTTTTCATTATAAAAATCTTTAACCTATGTATAATTCCTGCCTCCACTGTCCTGTTAGAATCTCCTGACATGAGGCATTTCCCAACAACCCTTTATCTTGTTTTTCCCTCTTTTTGTAATGACTCCTCTTTTATAAATCACATACTGTCATTTATATTGTATTACTATCTATGCTTTAGAAAAAAACACAGAGGCAAACATTTTGTCTATTTTTACTGTTAGAACAATAAAGTGCCCACCACTCTGTAATGCACAATGTTAACAGTACTATCATACAATTGATTTCATATGTGTGAAGTGCTGACAGCTAAATCCAAACAGAGGCACTTGCAGTACAGTACATAAATCGATAACTTTAAGGTACTGGTTCCCATCAGAGAGATGGAAAGTAACCTAGAATACATAAATGTGAAGAAGTCAGATCTTAAAAGTAGGTGGAACCAAACGGTTTATGATATGGATGACTTTTTTAAAAAGATACGTTTTATTTTGTTCTGAGTTTTGAATTGCAAAGAGACATAAGAAGTTGAGGTCATGCTCCTGTGTTTGTTGGCATTT